AACTCTCCCCCCGCTATGGAGGACCGATCCTGACACAGTCAGAAATAAATACAGAAATAAATAAATGCTCAATAAATAAATAAGCATCCAATTAAATACACAAAAAAATAAAGTAAATAAATAAATGTAGGTAGTAATTAAATTATACAAGGAGACATAAATGTATATTTTAATTAGTGCCTTTACTATTCACCTTTGTTATAATTACCTTATTTGTTTATTCAACTTTATTTATTACAATTTTTTAATGTATTATTTATGTGTGTTTTAATATTTTTGTCTGTTTTATTCTTCCTTTGTATTTATTTACCTTATTTATTTTCACCCATGGTATTTATTTCTGCCTGTCTTTTTAAATTTTTGTATGCATTTCTGCCTCATTATGCAAATGAGGAGGGGCTGTGTCTCAAGGGGTCATCTTCTCTGCTATTGGTGGACCAGTCAGACAGGAGAGCTCCTACTCTGCCTGCAGACATCAACGATCTTGCCCCTCACACAGTCAGATGGCTTCCTTCAGTGCGCTGAGGTGTTTAACAACTCTGAAGACAATACTACCAGCAATGTCTTCCTTCTCTTTTCACGTAGAAGCACCGACAGACAGTGCTTTCAGTTTGCTGCATGCATGGACACAGAACTGCGGTATAGGGAGAAGCACACGGTCAGCTGGCTGCAGCTAAATCTGGAGTGCACTCGTATTCAATTCTGTATGGTAAATTCAGTTTTAACGGAGCAGAGCGAGCTGACAGGCAGAGTTAGAGACTTTTTCTGTCTGTTTCTCTCTTTACAAAGACGCATGTTGCAGTCAGAGTCTTCTCTGAGATGCGAGCACGACATACAACACAATTTATCAAATTACACAACGGATATACAGTATGAAAATAAGATTGATTGGATTATACTCACAGGAAGTATAAAACCTCTTACATGGGTCTATTAAAGTAAAGTAACACAAAAATGTCAGGGAAATTACTTTACTTAGATTTAAGTACTGCAGTTGTACATTTGAAATACCTTCCTACCTTTCTGATAGGAAGCCTTCTTGAGGTGGTATAAAACATTTCTTCTTATATTCTGATTTGAGTTGTGGACAACTATGACCACATGAATTAAAAAAAACATTTCACTGCCCAAGTCAGCTATAACACAAGTCTTGATCATCAGACTACATGCTGTACAGTATTTGTGGACAGATTTTGTCCCAGGATTTCTTATGCATTTCTTCTTCTTCGTTGCATGATTTAGAATAATAAGGTGAGAAATGGGTCTATTCTGAGTTCATCCTGCACTGCAGCAGCTAATAAAGTCCATTTCATCCCAAAAACGCTTTTCTTTTAGGCAGGCTGGAGCAGAAAACAACTCACCTTTCTCAAGTTGTACAGTAATGTCACATGTGTATGAAGGTGGATCAAACAAGCTAATCTTAAATGTCAAAGTAGAGAGGAGCCTAGTAGGCCTATTTATTTTCATTCATTACACAATATGAATAAGCTATGCAGACAGTTGTAAAGAAAGAACATCTTTTTCTTCTGTTCTCTACTTGTTATAGTTACACAGTATTAGGGGTGTGGGCTGTATTAAAAGTATCCACTGTTCTCCCATGCTCTAACACACAGTAACGATGAAATGTGTGCTGTTCTCACATTCTTCCTCTGTATGTACACATAAACACAAGGCAGGGAAATATAAAGGAATTTATTTTATTGTTTGGGTACATTATTGTTCAGTGTACATGCTCACATCTGAAACAAACTTTACGTGCTTGATAACTCTCCCACCCCGCAGACATCTACACGTCAATACCGATTTATATTCATAGCGGCAAGTGCTATGTAGCTCCACATAGGGGACACAGGAAGTGACATATAGCACATTCATGCGGCGTCGGAAACGCGTAGGAAATTCACAGCCGCACCGGCAGAACTCCAGAATGTGCAACTCGGCCGGCTCACGCGCGGACGCGCTTACAAGTGCGAGGGCCCGCCCAACGCTGCTTGCAGCTTTAATTTACTTTATTTTTTTGTGTATTTAATTGGATGCTTATTATTTATTGAGCATTTATTTATTTCTGTATTTATTTCTGACTGTGTCAGGATCGGTCCTCCATAACGGGGTGGGAGAGTTATCAAGCACGTAAAGTTTGGTTCAGATGTGAGCATGTACACTGAAGTTACAACAACTTCCTGTGTCATGGCGAAGACTTGATCTCTGACGCCACGCCACGGACACACCATTGACGAAAACTCGCAAATAGCACAACTTTTCATCTTCAATGCCTTTAGAAGGCACAGCACAAATTTGAAGTCGGTCGGACTAAATCCCTAGGAGGAGTTCGTTAAAGTACGAAGTGTGTAAATCATCCAAAATTTGACGTAAAATTCAAAATGGCCTACTTCCTGTTGATTTTAGGGCATCGCTCCAAGAGGCTTTTTTGTGCGTCTGGACAAGATACACGTACCACAGAAAATTCGTGCACGTAGGTAAAACTAGCGGCGGGGGCTGCTTCGTTAAAAGTCACTTCCTGTTGCCAGCAGGTGGCGCTATGACTGTCTGTGAATGTCAGCATGTACATGTGTTCAGGGCGGGACTCTCATCCTACATGTACAGTTTGGTCCAGATGTGAGCATGTACACTGAAGTTACGACAACTTCCGTGTCATGGCGAAGAGTTGATCTTTGACGCCACGCCACGGACACGCCCATTGACGAAAACTTGCAAATAGCACAACTTTTCATCTTCAATGCCTTTAGAAGGCACAGCACAAATTTGAGGTCGGTCGGACTAAATCCCTAGGAGGAGTTCGTTAAAGTACGAAGTGTGTAAATCATCCAAAATTTGACGTAAAATTCAAAATGGCCGACTTCCTGTTGGGTTTAGGCTATGGCTCCAAGAGACTTTTTTGTGCGTCTGGACAAGATACACGTACCACAGAAAATTCGTGCACGTAGGTAAAACGTGCGGCGGGGGCTGCTTCGTTAAAATTCACTTCCTGTTGCCAGCAGGTGGCGCTATGACTGGGGTGAATGTCAGCATGTACATGTGTTCAGGGCGGGACTCTCATCCTACATGTACAGTTTGGTCCAGATGTGAGCATGTACACTGAAGTTACGACAACTTCCGTGTCATGGCGAAGAGCTGATCTTTGACGCCACGCCACGGACACGCCCATTGACGAAAACTTGCAAATAGCACAACTTTTCATCTTCAATGCCTTTAGAAGGCACAGCACAAATTTGAGGTCGGTCGGACTAAATCCCTAGGAGGAGTTCGTTAAAGTACGAAGTGTGTAAATCATCCAAAATTTGACGTAAAATTCAAAATGGCCGACTTCCTGTTGGGTTTAGGCTATGGCTCCAAGAGACTTTTTTGTGCGTCTGGACAAGATACACGTACCACAGAAAATTCGTGCACGTAGGTGAAACGTGCGGCGGGGGCTGCTTCGTTAAAGGTCACTTTCTGTTGCCAGCAGGTGGCGCTATGACTGTGGGTGAATGTCGGCATGTACATGTGTTCAGGGCGGGACTCTCATCCTACATGTACAGTTTGGTCCGGATGTGAGCATGTACACTGAAGTTACAACAACTTCCTTTCATTGCGAATCATCGACGCCACGGACACGCCCATTGACGAAAACGCGCAAATAGCACAACTTTTCATCGTCAATGCCTTTAGAAGGCACAGCAGAAATTTGAGGTCGATCCGACTAAATCCCTAGGAGGAGTTCGTTAAAGTACGAAGTATGTAAATCATCCAAAAATGGCCATAAAATTCAAAATGGCCGACTTCCTGTTGACTTTAGGCTATGGGTTCTTGAGGCTTTTTTGTGCGTCTTGATACGATACATGTCCCCAGAAAATTTCGTACATGTAGGTTGAACGTGAACGAGGGGCTAATCATTTCCAATTTTCTAGGTGGCGCTAGCGAGTCATTTTGCCACGCCCATGTGCGAAACTTGTAGAATACGAAATTTTTCACCGGTTCTGACATGTTTGCAAATTTTGGTGAGTTTTCGAGTATGTTTAGGCCATGTCATTTGGGCCTACTTTGCAGAAAAAAAAAAAAAAAAAAAAAAAAAAAAAAAAAAAAAAATAATAATCCGAGCAATTTCAATAGGGACCTCGCACGGTCGTGCTCGGGCCCTAATTATCATGTTGCTGTCATGTGTTTGTAGGAGGTTTAGATTAGATTTGATGAACTTTAGTGTCTCCAAGGAGAACGTTTGATTGGGCCCATTGTGCACATTTCAGCTTCGCGGACAAGAAATACATTCACAGATAAAACCACGCGTCAGCCCAGATAGGTGCTAACCAAAGCAAATACAGCAGTAAATAATACCAGAGAAGAAAATGTGTAACAGTCGACCATGAATGTTAAAAAATTCAATGCTACAAATAAGTAAGATCATGTATAAATACGCACGTTTCCGTTATAAATTAAAACAGCTGTTAACAGTAAGTAAGCTAAAGTATTTTTAAAAACTGCAGTCATCCAAGAGTTAGATAGCGTTGTTGTAGATAGCATCTACTGATCATGTTAATCGACAAATTAACTTCTATGCTGTCAGATAAATGCAGTGGGCTAAAAGTACAATGTTTCCCTCTGAAGTAGCGCACAAGTATAAAGTATCAGAAAGTTACATTGCACCATTTGGGTGTTTTATCACAAAAGGAAGAGAAATTAAATAAGTACAACAGAAAAAAAAAAAAACACAGAGTCAAATGTATGTAGCCTCTGTCTGAAGAAAGTTTGGCCTCATAACCAGGACAGGGTTTAAATACAAACAGTGCTTCGAAGCCTGAGTGATCGATCACAGTCACGATCAGAAATTCTTTATTGATCCCCGAGGGTTTGTAAAATTTCACCCGTCCCATGCGCACATATCACCACTAGATGGCGCCACTGCACCACAGTAAAGCCCCGGTGGCTGCAGATGGACAGAGAGACCAAGTGCTGCACTACACCCAGCGATCATCTCCACCTCTCAGCCAAACACAGAGTGGAGACGATCGGCTCAGATGTCTCGGGTTTCGAGACCCTATTACATTTAACCATCAGTGAAACACCGGCTTGTAAGCAGCACACGAGCCGCCGCGACCAAACCCACGTGATCAAATGCGGAAATTGTCTGCTAGTGTAGCGGAGTAAAGAGGGGATTGGAGGTTTTGGTGTGTGTTTGTATTTTGACCTGCTGGTGCTGGTCGGAGCAGTAGTCGCTGGAGTCCCTGGACCGAGCAACACTTCCACTTGAGGGGACAACGAAGCTCTCGGGTCGCCGTACGAGTTTCCTCCGTCGTGAACAAAAAGCAAGGTAAGATGGAAAACATAACAAAAAGAGATTTAACGTTACGTGTGATAGTTGGTGCTAACGCGAAACTTTTTTACTAACACAGAGCAAAGACGGAGTCATCTGTCAGGACGGCTAGCTAACATGTGGGTTTATGTTTCGGTGACACCAGGTTTAAATGTTTATGTCAGTTAATTGCGCATTATTAATGTTACCACCAAAGTCCCTTTTAGTGTATTTATACCTCAGTCAGAGTGTTGACATGTTGTTATGTGTTGTTTTGTGCTGCGTTAAAGATTCAAACGTGATTTTGAATTCATTGTAACACTGTAATTATTTTATTTCATGCACAATGAACAGCGTCAAAAAGTAGAATTACATGCCTTTTGGAAAGTTTAAATTGATGCAAATTAAATACATTAGCACAAGGAGGCATTATAATATGTAACTAAGTACTAATGATGATATTGATAATGGTGATAGCACACTCACACTGCAAGTCTAGACTGCCTACCCTTACTTATAACCGAGGACAAAATATTAGAAACACATCTCAGTATAAAAAGACACAGTTGTTCAATGTGTCTCTAAATCAGCTTTAACAAAACTTGAAGACTACAGCCTTCATTAGGATTTATTTTAAGATGGTTTTAACTAGCTGTAAGCAGAGGGTCAAACGACGTAAAAAGACATAAAAACTAATGATATACTTTATATATAATGTCATGCAGACTGTATGGTTTTGTGTGGGATTAAAGAAAGATGTTGAGGGTGCCAGTGCATTTTTGTTGCTCAAACAGGATTAAATCATTGATTGATTGATGGAATTGTTCAATTATTATCGCTGAATTGGCTAATTGTTGAAGACCCTGTAACAGAGAGTCCCCAACTTATAGACCGGTTCAATAAAGAACAAAGGTAAAGTGAGGTAAGGTCACAGTGTCTGTTTTGTTTCCTGTCACTCCCAGCCTGCGCCTGTTTCACATGGAGGAGCTCAAATTTCAAAGCAGGAGATGCATACCTGCTCTCTGTGGCATCTGTGATTTAAATTAGTCGATTCTGGCACAGAGCTGAGACAGAGCTGTCTCCGTGACCAAGCTTGGTTGGGCTTTAGAGAAGGTGGTCATGCATGTAAAATTAAGTTCAATGCTCACACCCTTCGAAGGTTCCTGTAGAGTCTGTACAATGCAGCAGTTAACACATGAAGATGTTACCAGTAATGTGTATTAGGTAATTAACAACTATTTTATACAAATATCTGTCTGGTAGAGCATGTCTAAACTCACAAACCTTCACATTTGTTTGTTTTTTGGGTCTGACCTGTCCTGGTAGACATTGCCAATACATCCTGTACATCACAATATGTTTGTTTGTTCACATCAAAATCAAAACAGCCCAGTCGCACCACTCTGCACTGTCTAGTCATTTTAGTCTTCCACATTGCTACCTTCAACAACTCTGTGTTTGAGCTGTCGCTGCTGCAGGGGGAACTTGGAAAGAATCATACAACTGGGCTAATATTTTTGTAGGTTGGACAAAAGTATTCCTATGGATTATGGTAACATTAAACTCACCAAAGCATTGTAGAGATCTGGGGGCACTGCGACAGGGAGGGAACCCTCCTCTATGGCGCTTCATGAAGTTTCCTCCATTTTTTCCCCTGTTAAAAGTTATTTGTTTGTCAAGGGTCTGAGGACAGAGGGGGTATTATGCTGTACAGATTGTAAAGCCCCTTGAGGCAAATTTCTGATATTGGGCTATATAAATAAAACTGACTTGACCTAACTTGACTTGACAATCCATCAGGGGCAAGAAACTCAAGCAGTCAGATTATTTGACAGGTTGTAAACAAGCCAACAGTGAAGCAAATTATGTGTGTATTCAGGGAATTAAATTAGCACCTGCCACCTGCCAAAGACAGGGTAAATGTTGACTGTGGCAGGTAAACATGTCATGTCACCTGCCACTATGCCAGGTAGGGTTTTCTTATATTAATAGACATTCTTTTTAAAAGGCTATTCTTAAATTAGGAATAATCAGGGATTAAGGTTACGTGATTCCACATTTTTCAAGATTTCAGAAGTTGCAGACAAAAAAGTGGCTGGTAGAAATGTTCAGCGACCTGCCTCAATCTTAATTTTAGACCAGGTGCAATCCCTCATTGCACAAGAAAACTATGCACATTTACTGTCCAAGTTGAAACAGGTAGTCGTTGTGATGGGTGTTTAAAACGTTTTTGGTTAATAACTTTACCCTTTGCCTTTGGGTTAGGGTTAGGGGGTTAGGGTTAGGGTTTTCTCTTCCTAGTGAGTTTAGCTAACCTGGGGTTTTGTTTATAACCTGTCTGATTGTCTGACTGTTTCTTGCCCTGTTGGATGTCTTTTTTAATGATGTTTCTGCATTCCCAGTTCTCAGCAATAAACAGCGTGAGTACAATACAAGTGTTACTGAAAGCGAGGGTGGCTACAGTGACTACAAAAATAAGACCCAATATGTAGTAAAAAGGAGTTACCGTTTAGCAAGCTGTTTACAGTGGTAGTGGTCAGAGAAGAACTTTAATTCATATATTTGATGTGACCACAGTACCTAAAGCATTTCTGTAAACATCTTTAAGCTCGTGAATCAGACATATTTACGTGTCACCCTGCTGCTCTCACAGCTGTAGGTGTGTACATTTGAATCTCATCTGTTTTTCTAATCATAGCGACCCATTTAGCGCCCAAAACAGCCCTGATATTTCTGTTGAAAGTGGATCAGCCTCTGATTCCAGACGATTCTCAGTGGACTTGACATTCTAAGTTTTTCTATTCCACGATGTGACACCCTTCCCCTCCCGTGTAGGAGCATGAAAATGAAAGACTCATTCCCATGTTTGCAACATTACAAGAAGGAAGTGCAAACCACAAGGAGTTCTTGGGGTCATTGGTCTCACAGATGTGTGCAGTTCCTGTTAGAAAATGTGTAAAAGCAACAATTAATCGGAAATACCGCTCACTAAAAGGAATCGCAGAATTCAAAGAACAAGGTCAGACTTTGCATGGTTGGTATTTTTGAACAACATTCCCAAGGCTGTTTTTAGGCCATCTGATTTTTGTCCACAGTGGAATGCCTTTATCAAGCCTGGACAAAAAGAAACGTATGTAACGTGGCTGCATACATCTGTCAAACTATCTGCGCTGAGATCAGGTATTATCTTGACACAAAGGGTGAGAGAAAGCATCTCCAGTTGCTGGCTGCTTTGGTTCTGAATTAATAACAAGGCTCAAAAGTCACCACAGTTCAGACACTGTATATTCACCAAACAGCAACTAGCACAGCTGTGTGAGGAGGCCAGTGCAAAAGATTGCCCTCTAGATGTTTGCTTGTTGAGAAAACAAAGACAGTTTTGAACTCTAAGAAGAAAAGCCCTCCAAAGTCAATAAATCTTGACCATGATGTGCAAAGATTTGTGTGTGTGTTTGTGTTTGGGAGTGTGAAGCTGTATGCTGCGTTCCATTTACCTCGGAAGTCGGAGGTCGGAGCTGGGAATGACGTCACACCCGAGTTGACGGTGTTCCAGTTACCAAGTCGGAAAACCTCGCTTGGCCAGCTGTTTGTTTACAACTAGTCAGGTTAGCTATTGATACGACGGTTGATTAAAAAAACGCATTGTGTGGTATTTACTCACACTAAACACTGTAGCAACACGTCCACAGACAGCTGTTGGACAGCACTTTGTGTACGAACATTTATATGAGTCACAAGTACACAGAAGTGCTAAGAAACAGTATAAACTACAGCTTTCACCAACTGTTGATACCCCGACAGCCATCTTGGATCGGGGTAGTGCGCTTCACCCGACTTCCTGAGTTGGAAATCCGACTTCAGGGGGCGTTCCAGTTTAAAGTTCCAACTGGGAACTCTGAAATTCCGACTTCCCATGTCAAATGTAACGCACCATTAGTCTCTCTTATAGGGCTAACAAATCAAATGCGTAGAAGCAATGAAAACACAAAAACAGTGCTAGTTTAGCGGTTGTTTTTTTTTTTTTTTTTTTATCTGGCACTTCCAAAACGTGCATGACAAGTTTTGGTATGTTGGTGTTTACTGGTTAGTGCTGTCCGTGTTGCCTGATAGGCTGAAGAAGCCCTTCAAGATGATTTTCACAAAGCGCTAGTAGGCATGCGTTTGTACTAACAATAGCATTAGCTGCTGCCCCAACCTGTGTGGTGACTGTGTAAGGATTCAGCAAACTATCTTGTTTTTCTCATCCGTCACTACTGCAAACACTACCGCTACATTTACTAGTATTTCACTCATAACATTAGGGGAGCTTGTGTAATGATGTAATGAGTTATTAGTAGTCAGGTTAAACCTTTCACCTGTTTTTTTTATATTATGTAAAATCACAGCTTTGGGGAAACTTGTCATGCTGTTGGTTACCGTTGTATAACAGCAGTAGTGCCTGAAAATAAGGCTGCTCTAGTGAATATTATTGTAGCATTAGATTAAATAGATGTGCCATCTATCTCTTTCACTTATGTGCTGCTGTTACATTGTTATTATGCACTATAGTGTGTCCAAATATACTTTGTTTTTTCTTCATTTCCATATTTATATGAAGCGCCTCCCAGAGATGTAATGAACCTTTTCCATCTGTGCGATGCCCATGAACAGCAGCTTCAGCCCCACGCTAATCCTCTTAGATTGTTTTGTTGTTTTCCTTTAATTGAACTCTCTCTCGGGAGTCTCTGCTACTCCTGGCTTGTCTAGTACACCCCAACTGTGCTCTCGGCTGAAATACAGCCTAACCTGGGGTTTTGGATTTAAAAAGAAGGGAAGAAAAACTGTGGCGATCTGTTATTTCCCCCGTTTTATTTCTCTCTCATGTACAACCTTTAATTTCCTCCTTATCTTCCCTGTGCTCCTCTGCTGATCTAATCACTGCCAATTGTTTTCTGTTTCTTTCTCGCTCCCGCTCTCTATATATTGCTAAATGCTTCTCTCTCATTGTCTTCTCTGTCCTACCTTGTTTTGCAGGGTCGTTCTGAGGTCACACTGTTGAGATGACAAGGCTGTGACAGTGTGTGTCCAATTGTGTCTGTGCTGGACCGATTCCTGTGACATGGCTACTGCTAAGAAGAGTGAGTTTCTATTATTGTATTAATTGCCGGCTCTAATTACTGTGATGTTTGTTAACTTTTCTTATTTAAAGGTACTTCTCCTAAGTCTCTCAGTAGTGCTAAGTCCTGTAGTGATTTTCTACAACTTTGGGAAGCTGTGGAAACCATTAAAAATTATAAATATAAATTATAGGTAGTGCTTTGAGTCAGACAGGGTGAGCAGTAGTTAATATTAAAGATGTAGGCAGCCCAGGCTCACCCGCTGTCTCAGGATCAAGACTTATGGTTTTGTTTTTGTTGAATAAATCAATTGAATGGCAACAGGCTGCAAAAGTAATAGCCTACGTTTATTTAAGGGGATGTGAGGGAGGTCAAAGTCCCAGCCTGCCAAGTTTGGTGACAGAAAGAAAACCAACCTACTCTTCCTAAATCTAGATTTCCCATATGCCTTATTCTGCATTGTTCCATCTCTGCTGTTTGACAGTAGACAGTAGATTTTAATGTCTGAATCTGAATCAATTCACAGTTGTAATTTATTTTGATAACAATGATTAACTAAATGCGTATTGTACAGGAACTCACATCTTTGTTAAAGAGGTGGTATTATGGTTTTTGGCTTTTTCCCTCTCCTTTATTGAGTTTATACCTTTTTTGTGCATGTAATAGGTTTGCAAAGTGAAAAAGCCCAAAGTCCACACCAAAGGGTTTTCCCACAGAAAACTCTGAACTGCCTGAAAACAGCTCGTTTGTAGTCCAGCTGCTTCCCTTTCATCACTGTGATGTCACAGAAAAATGCGCGTCATAATGCTCGCCAAGCGGCTAGTCCGACACTGAAAAACACAGAGCTGCAGCACACACCTCTCCTCTCCCTTCCAAACACCAGCTACCCTCCAGGCAGTCCATGGACATAAAGTTGTTACAGTGATGTAGAGACAGAGCTCAGTTAAAACTGTATGGATGAAAAATACTTTTGTTACAGATTAATAACTCACCACTCTGAAACTCTTGGGCTCCAGCCCATATTGATAAGCTGAACCAAAGCTGTGTTTACCAGCTTCTCACGACCCACCATACTCTGCTTCTGACTGGCTAGTAGTCCTTAACTAGGAACTGTGCATGTGCAACTCCCAACAAAGATCACGTAGAGGCTAGATGCATCACTCCAGAGCTAAAACGAAGCCTTCAACACAGGGTGAAAAGAGGAGCTGCAGCAATGTGCAGTATGGGGGAAAAAAAGAAGGTGTTTTTTGAAAATGAAACCTGTTCTGGTACAACCCCTAAATAAAATGAGCAACCTGAAAATGAGCATAATATGACCTGTTTAAGCGACATTGTAATACCTACACAGGATGGATATATTCCTGGATGTATATTAAGCCCTTTTACTCAGCCAGGAAATTATCATAAAGCTTGAAGCTGTATCCTAATCGGCTGGAGCTGAATTTATTAATCTTTCCCCTGCATTGAAAGTTTTTAACCAACCAGCTGGTTGCAATAAAACCAGATGAAGAAAAAAAACAGGCTGACAGATTCTTCAATATAAGTTATTGTGATTAAAAAATCCCAAATAGATTTTTTCACCAGTGAGACAGCCTGGGGGCATTCCAGGAAGGTTAATCAACTGCATTTAAATTCGCAATTGATTTGTCCTTTCTGTTGGGTTTTTTGGAGAAAAGGGTGTGGTGACACTGTCAAGTCATTGTCAGCAGCTTTACGACATATTTTTGTGAAGGCAAGCAAATTTATTTCCTCAAAAGCAGGAAGGGCTCCAAAAGGAAAAAAAACACTGGATGAGAACAAGACTTGTTAGAGAGCTGTAAATGACTCATCACGTTTTTATTACTACCATGAATATGCTCCATCTCCTCCCCAGTGGAGTATGAGTACTTGCTGTCTTCAAGGACCACTCAGCAGGGCTTTGTTCTCTGATAAGGTCACTGTATGAAGGGCAGTGCAAAAGGAGTCTCTGTATTGACTTTCTGTTGGCGGCATTTTACAAAATGTATTTTTCATGTGTCTGAAATGTCACCGGAAAAGAATTTGTTGCCTTTTTTACAGGTAGAGGAATGTGTTGCCACCTTGGTGAGAGCAAAATTATTTTAAAAATAGGAGCTCTGACGCTTTTGTTGTGTAGTCTTTGGTATTGTTTCCTTTCAACAATAGGCAAGGATCTCTGGCGTACCACGAGTTTATTACCCAAGTGGATAAGTTGAAAAGCTCGTCATTACTTTGAGTGCAAACAGAAATAGAATATTAGAATATATATAAAACACTGATTTTGTTGTCAGCTCCCTATCTCTTTGAACTTTTTCGTATAATTTATTTTTAATTATAATATAGCTGTTGAACAAATGACTGGCTATGAAGAAGCAGTGGCAAGGAGAGATGCAAAACGAGAAGGGTAGACCGAGATGCATTTGTGCAATCTAACTAAGGCTGGCATGCAGTGTACTTAAAACATAATTAAATTTGTGAACTAATGTCCTCACCAGCTGGAAGAGCTTGTGGTTTACAATTGGAGGAGGGCAACTTTTGTTTATCAAAAGCTTTTTGGAAAAACCAATCGCGTGACACGGCTGATCGATTGCAGGCAATGGCTTTTTGGTGAGGAGTAAACAAGTTCAGCTGTCCAGCGTGCAAATGCTGCATTGATCAAAGCCAAATGTGCTTCTCCTCGGTCCTAAATTCAGTTTTTTTCCCTGTACCAACATGATATTTTGAGTTTATTTGGAGCATACTGACACTTTGGTGAAAGAGTTCGGAGAAGAAGGCTTACAGGCCAACAGGGCACTGTAATATTCAGCAGAGCAGAAGCAGATATACTGACAGACAGATTAGTGGAGGGACAGAAGTAGATTAATCTGAAATAAGCCAGTTCGGTGGGACGTGCACGTGTGCATATTAATGTGAGTGTGCACATGCATCTGTGTGTTTATGGGTCTGCTACTACAGAGATGGTAAATGTGGTTGTGTATCACTGGTCTGGCTTTGAATGAGATTATCTGGCCCATCATAAAGGCCAAAGATCTCAGTACTGTGATAATGAGCCAGACACGGGGGGTTGGCCCAGAGCGCTCCCACTGTTTTGATGCTGTTTGTGCAAATACATCAGCCATAAATTAAAAAGACAAAAGTCAGAGTGGAAAGAGGAAAACATTCGGTAATGTAGTAAAATGGTGTGACAGATTGTTTTTCCTACACAATCAAGGTAGCAGCCAGCTGCCCCACAATTTATTTACCATATTGATGACAATGGAGATGAGACCTGTAGTGGCAGGAAGGCTCAAAGTGAGGCAGATGATGTTGCACACAACTTGTTGGCCTTTTGGGAATAAGTATCATTTTCATGCGCCAAAGGGTTGATCACTCAAACATTATGCAGTAGTCCAAAGAAGGTTAAAGTCAAGGGCAACTGGACTATGGTTAAAGATACTAGAAGACGTTTCGTCCCTCATTCAAGAGACTTCTTCAGTTCTGACTATTAGGGATACTCAGCTATTTAAACCAGGTTAATTATTTGGTTCTAACGACCATAACGACTATCGTTACAACAGCCAGGAGCACTAACAAACAAGCGGTATCAATGATCCTGGCAAACGACCCCAAATTAGGTTAAATAGTTTCCCTACTAGTCAGTCAGTACTCTTGTATGAGAGATGAAACGTCTTCTAGTATCTTCTTTGGATGTACAGTGTTCTGGAGGTAAAAGTTTCATCATTTTCTGAAGAAAATGTAAGACGATTGACAGTTGTAGCACTTCAGAGGCTTGGATGGGCTCTTTGGGTTTAATCATCAAAACAAAACATCTCAGAATGTACAAAGGCACAAGCCTGTGTACATAAAACTGAGACAAAAACTCAGTTATTTGTGCCAATAACAATAAGCCTTAGTTGAGGACTGCACATTTTCCAAAACAAATAACACACATAATGTGCAGCTTCTGTTAATTATCTTTTTGATTTTGGTTCAATTTTAGATGATTTTTAAATTTGCTATCTCGCTGATTCATGCCTTGGAAGTGAAGGGGACTGATTGCCCTATATTATTTAGAGTGTTTCTCTCATAGTGTTTCTGTGTTGAGGAGCATTGAGCACATCAGTAACTTTGAAAGGGGGAGTTTACAAATAAATAAACTTGCATCCACAACCAGCTGTTTTGTTTTTTTTTGCAACTCTGAAACAGTATTAATGATATAAAAAGACACAGTAAGCTATTATAAAGGGAATTGCTATAAAACAGGGTCACTACATTCTGCTGCAGCGTTAACACTGCCATACATTTGAAAATAAATAACTAAAAAGGACATTAAAAGTGGAACAGCCAAAACAACTTTGAGGAATCCTTATTAGTAATATTTAGTTAGTATAATAAGAAGGATAATATTAACATTAAGTGATGTTTCCACTGTGAAAGAACATTATAGTTCAATATAGACATACTGCTTTTGAAATAATTTCAGAAAATGAATGTACACTTAATTGTATCAAGGTGTCAAAATAAGAGAATTATTATCAGAAGTCAGCAGACCAGCGACACCCAAAAACATCACGGCTGGTCTGCACAATACATTTAACTATTGTGCGGTTCTATAGTATGCTTTGAGGCGTGTTTGATTGCAGTGCTTGTTCTGTAGATACACACACGTAACATCACTGCCATCTGTCAGTTTATGAGGCCCTTCTCCCTTTTAAGGAAACCCAATATTGAGTCTTACATTCATTCTGATGGTTTTGTCCTAATAGCTCCCATTAAAATGATTTTTAATGCTCGTGACATTTTGAGTGCACCTCTGATAACTTAGCAATAAAAATCCTTTTAACTGGAGCTATTTGATGTGTGGATCTATTTGTTTTCAACTCTGCTAGATTCTATGTTTGATCCAGCACCCATCCTGTTGGGCGCTGGGATGTGCCTGTGTTTTTTTATGGTTTCATATTGCCTTAACTATCACTCTTGAATGGATCATTTCTCACTTTGGAGAGAAAGTTGATTAAAGTCATTGCAAATGAAAGCCCACCCTC